GTCATTTGGTGGGAGTTAGGGAGACGTGGATAGGCAAGTCATGTTTGAGCAATTCCACGTCACCGCAGGAGTGTTGGGGACATTTTCTGCCCAGCGACCAGGGAGCTCAGAGGCTGGAAATGATGTAACAGGATTGAGTAAGGGGTTGGGGAGGCGGTGGGGTGGAGCCGTGGTTTCCGTGGCAAGGTAGTAAGATAGCCTCCCTTGGGTAAGTCACTTCCCCTCTGCGAGCCTCAGATCCTCATCTGTAAAATGAGACTGGGTAAACGATTCTTCTGTTGTTGATCCTTGGTGACGCAGTGGTCAAGCTTTTGTCTACTCCCCAGAGGTCAGTGGTTTAAATTACACCCCCCACCCTTGGCTCCCCAGGAGAAAGATGGCAAGCAGCTTCCATAAAGATTACAGCCTGAGAAGCGCCGTGGGGTAGTTGCACCTTGTCTTAGACGCTCACTGTGAGTCAGTCTTGACACTGGCAACAGTGAATTCCTAGGGTGCCTCCCTGCCAGGAAAGGTGGCGGGGGTGGGGGGATTGCACTTGAAAATGCCCATGCCCCTCAGGCCAGGAGGCGCTTAGCAAATGAGAGAGAGGCAGCCATTGTGACAGGTCAGCAGATGTGTCAGAGCTGAGAGTTAGGGGAGTTCAGGGAAGCTGGCTCCTCTGCAGAGGTGAGACGGAGCCGACCCTCAGAGGGTAGGCGAGAAGAGCAGGCGTCCGAGCAGGCAGGGAGGTCACACAGGAGCGCCAGCATGGTTGTGAGAGAGGGCAAGGCGCAGTGGAGCCTGAAAGGTTGGGGGTGGGCTGGGTGTACATTTGTGCAGTGAACCCCAAAGGCCAGGCTTCCTTGGTTGGCAGTAGGGGCTCATTGGTAGGGTCCCTTCAAAGGTAGGGACCCTTGGGTGGTGGCAAGGAGGTGTCATTGCTTTTATCCATGGGGCAACGAAAAGATTGGGAAGCATATAGGCAATTCCTTCACTACTCAGTTCTACTAAACAAATAAACCCTTAACAAACAGAACTTTTATTCTCTCTCCGTTTAAAAGGCTAGATGTCCAAATTCAGGGCACCAGCTGGAGAGGAAGGCCTTGTCTCTTGGCTCTGCAGGAAGGTCCTTCTCTCTGTTAGCTTCTGTTCCGGGCAGTCTTCAGGGGGCATAGCACCAGGCTTCCCCTGGATCTAGGAGGTCTTGGCACAAAGACCTCAGGTCCAAAGGCTATGTGTTATTCTCCCAGCTCTTCTTTCTCGGTGGTAGTAGAGCCCCTTTTCCTACGTATCTCTCTATTTACCGCTTGTAAAATACTAGTCCATGCAGGCCACGCCCCAGGGAAACCCTCTTTCTATGGGATCAGAGCTGTTCGTGAGGAAGGCGGTTACTTCCCACCCTCATGTCTTACAACTGATTGGCTGATACTGTCAGATTACTGGGAATCATAGCCAATGCTATCACATTGGGGGGCGGGGTAGGGGGTGACAATTAAATCCATGACATTGCACTCATGTCCTTGATACATGCAAAACACCCCACCCTATCATCTTAGTCTTAAAATCAAGTCCCAACTTTCATCCTAGGACAACACCCTCTTTGTCTGTGAATGTAGAATACAAGTTATCTGTTTTCAAAGCACAGTGGTAGAACAGGCCAAAACAGCCATTTCCATTAAAAATGGAAGAAATTGGTGGGAAAGAAAGGATAACGGGCACCAAGAAAGTTAAAAAAAGAACAATTTCATTTTCAAGGCTTGAAAATAATCCTCATTTCTGTGAGACCATCTGGGCCACTGTCCTGCCTGCCAGACTTAGCCATGCTCTCTGGATACTCAGTGGTGGCTCCTTGGCCCTGGGATTGAGCTCCTCCTTATCTTGTAAGGCCCACTCTGCTCTTAGCACTTCATGTAGCCCCAGCCTCTTACTCCGTCCAGATGATTGGCAACTTCGCCCCCTTTGCCTCAAGGAGCTCCTCTTTCCTGCCCTATGGGCATGGCAGCCCTGCCCCCTCTATGTGAGCAGCAGATGTGTCTTATCCCCATGGCACTTGGGAAAAGCAGCCCTGTACTCCAGAAATGAGTTGGTGAGGACTGGACTCTAAAACATAGGCGGGTGTGGCTCCACCCTTTGTTACTTCAGAGACCATGACCCACCCTTCGGGCCCCAGAAGTTGGGGCCCCACCCTTTGAAACCAAGGCAGCTCTGCTCCCTGTGCTGCTTGTGTCTTCCGCTTCTGATTCCTGGTTACCTGGCCTGTTAGCTTCACGGATCTCTTGGGCTGGCCTGGCCTCTACCCTGCTCAGGCAAGTGCCAGAAAGCTCTTCAGCGCTACCAGTAAGGGCCTGGTGGCACCCTACTCTGCCAGTGAGCTTCTGCCTGAAGGTGCTCAGCTCTCTCACTCTGTGGGTCAGTCAGCCTAGCTGTGCAGGAAAATGCCCAGGGCCACCTCACTGTTCCAGGAAAGTCTCCTACCCATAGGCTGTCTTGCCTCATGGGTTAACTCCCACACCATGCTGCATTGGTTGGTTGATTCTGATGCCACCATTTCTCTGCGGTTGCTTCTCACGAGCTGTGCTGTCCAGGGTTACAGCTCTCTTCACTTCCTTCTGAGCCCTCACCAGAACTGCCTTTGATGTCCATAATTCCACCAGCAGTCTCTTTAAGGCAATCTAGGCTTCTACAGCTGGGCAACTTAAAATTTCCAACTTCTACCCGTTACTCTGTTTCAAAACCACTTCCACATTGCCCACACGGATGGCTTTACCTAACAAAAATTTCCTCTCAACTCAGAAAGAATTATGTACTAGATTCATTGGCTGGACTGTTCAGAGAGGAATCTCCCACCTTAAAATGCCCGTTGGGCTCTGGAATTCTCCTGTGTAGGAATCTGGATGGGAGTAGCTTCTGGGCCTCTTAGGGTTACAGAGATCTTCCTAGAAGCCAACTGTTGACTTGCCTCAGGCTGTAGACATATTGACTTACATTGTAGAATTCTGCTTATCAGGCTCCTCCTTGGTATGGGGAGACAGTGGGAAAAACCAGAGACTGGGAACTTTCAAGGGCAAGAATGCCCTGTTGTAATAAAAATAAGGTGTGTGCTCATGAAACTTAAAAAAAAAATCTACTTTCACTGTTTTAGAGGTTAGGAGTTCAAATTCAGGGTGCCAGCTCTAGGGGAAGGGTCTTTTTCTGTTGGTTCTATTGGACGGTCCTTGTGGCTTGTGCTCTTTGGTGATCTTCATGGGTCTTCATCAATCTTCCCTTGGGTTTAGGAGGTTCTCAGCACAGAGACCCCTGGCCCAAAGGACATGCACCCTATTACCTACCCTTATTTCTTGGTGGGATGGTCCTTCCTTTGCTTACTTCTCCGTTTTTCTCTTGTAAGTTAAAAATGCAGGCCACACCCCAAGGAAACTGGTCCGTGACTTGAGTAAGGGTATTCCATCCTACCCTAATTCCATCCACAACTCAGACTGATCACGTCAGATCATATTGTGTGGATAACTGCCAAACCTCTGGGGTTCCTGGCCTAGTGGAGCTGCCACACATTTTAGGGGGTACTATTAAATCCGTGAAAGGAGGTGAAGGGAGAGCTGATGAGGGAGGACACTGAGGAGGAGACTGAGGAACACTTGCCCCTACACACCAATAGTTCTCATGCACACAGTTTCAACTGTCATACAGTATTGCGTCCCTCCCACCTAGATGCATCTGTGGCCTTGCATCATATACTGGACTCCCTGTTTCTAGATTTGCAAACAGCCTTTTAGGTACCCACTTCAGTCACTGTGTTCCTCTGAAACGGAGTGTTGCCAGTCGAAACTACACTGTGATAAGCTTGCCCCCAAAACTTCCTTCTAGCTCGCTTCCATTGGATGGCTTTTCTGGAGGGACATTTCTGACTCTTAAGTGGACAGAAGCCCTTAGGGCTTAAAAGGCTTAAAACCAACCCCACTACAGTATTCCTTTAAAAACTCAGGTGTTCTCCGGGAAGAGATGAGCCAGTCTTGGGGAGGAGACTAGCCAGTCAGGGTGCGATGTAGCAACAATGAAACATACAACTTTCCTCTAGTTCCTAAAT